CACTCCATTGTGCTACCTTGCAGGTCTGATTATCTAGTTAAAAGTTATAATTGGGAAGCCGAATAATAATCTTCCTGGGCCCGAGAAATCAAGAAGTATTATGTATTTACAATCGATGGACACTCCTTACGTTGTGCTATTTCTAGCAATATATATATATATATGCGTGTGTGTGTGTGTGTGTATCACCTGCACGAGTAGTGAACACCGATCCGTGAATTCCTCGTTTTCATTTTACGGCAAGTCACGAAAATACGTGATGTACGAAAGACAATGCCAGTTGCATACAATCGGAAAAAGCGCTCCTCTAATGATGCTGCCCCACCCTACCCCTGCTTCACCCCAAACGCCCATGGACCGATGGAAAAACGGACAAGAAGCGAGCGGAGGGGAAGGGGTGGGGTTCAGCTACGTGATAAACAATAGGTAGTCCAAGATTCTCGAAGATTACAGACCTCTCAATCTGATACAAATCCCAGGAATGAGATATGCTACTTGCATACTAACATACGATTGGACAGCTCTACATTGCTAGGAACCTAGACGTCCTCTATCGCGATGCAAAAAAGAGGAATGCGGTCACGATCAGGACTCATTTAAGAAGCACATTATGATGTTTGATGCAGACGAACAACTGCATTCTGACCTGAGCCTCATGTGAAAAATGCAGCTCTAAGCAAAATAACGAAACACCAGGGCAAGCAAAAGAACGCACACACACACACGCACATTCACCTTGGGTCGTGTATTCACGTGAGTTCAACTCGGCGATCAGGCTTCGGGGTAGGAATGTGGGCTCATTGGTCGAGTACGTGGTAGTGGATAGGGAAGATAATCTTGCAGGCAATTCATTTTGTCTTTGTGCGCCGATCAGCGAGGAGCATAGTGGGGGATGGGTGACCAGGTTCGTTGTACCGGTGACAACGTTGATGTTCGCCTGTCCATGTGGATCGACACTATTCAGTGCATTGTGTTGGGACGATGGGATGTTATTGTGGTGATGATTGCTGTTATGATCCGAACGACCACGAATCAAAGCGTTCGGTGAAGTCGATGCTTCGACATTCAGGCCAAAACTCGGATGAGCGTCAATATGATTGTAGTTCAAAAATGAACCTAGCATTCCTTGTCCCACAGACTGCCCAGCTGTGCTGCTCCCACCACCGCTGCCCTCGTAAAAGTTGCAGTACGAATCCGTCTGCAATAAACAGGTATGAGGTGGATAAGAATTGAGAGGATAATCTGATGAGAGAATCGTAGTAAGAAAACAAGGCAGTGATAAAGACGACAGTCATTAGCCTATGACCAGCAAACCTGTATACCACGAATAACATTCATTCTGTACTTCTTGGTACCGGCGGCAAGTAACCATAAGTGTTCACTTCAACTGAACCACCACGCAGAGACTGGGTATCATTCAATAAAGTAACAATTGCCTTCCGAAATGTGAGTTACTCAGTAAGCATCATCGTCCATTGGACATTCTGCCGGAACCGACGTCATATTCACAAGAAAATGATGTCAAATATCTTGCTTTTAGATTTTCCTTTTTTCCCTAAAATGATCTCTGTGAAAATTTACGTTAAAAACTTTTCGCATCCATCGAGTTCAAATGATGGGTGGACGTAACTATCGATTGACAGTCTTTTCCTCACGGAAAGAGATGTAGGTTTATACGGAGTATGAACCTCGACGTTGCGAAAGGACTATTTGTTGCGACTTTATCATTCATGTACACCTCTCTTCAGACTAAATGGGTTTGATTATTCCTAAGCTCCAGCTGCTCGCACTTAAAAGACATTCTCAACCCTAAATTCGTTCGTAAATATCGGACGATTATTTTATGAATGCCAATGAGGGTGCTTATCGCACAATAACTGTCTCGTTTGTTCCGTTGCCCATCGTGATCCCACATAGAGATCGAACATGCACCAGTTTGTTCACGTCCTATTTCCCAAAGGCACTAGCTATTACCCAAACTTTCGATACGTATTACTTGATCAGTGAACTCGTGTGTCAGACGCCGAAAAACCGTGCCAAAAGCGGAAGAAACATTGCAGCATAGAATTGTTTGCGGACTCTAAAGCGACGTAAAACGAAGTGTTCGGAAAACTTCAACTTACGTTGTCGTGCAGGTCATGGGGCAAGTTTCACCTGCATATCAAAAGGATGAAGAACACCTTCAACGGGATACGTGAAATAGTGCACAACGCATGGGAGATTATTCCGTCACATTACTCAGTAACGATATTTCGTGATGTCTAATGTTATAAATCATCTTCTCTATGTCAACCATCGAACGATACAACGACCTCGCACATGAAATCCGTAATCTATTTTCCTTCTCCATGAATGTTGTGTTTATTTGCATAAGTCAACAATGTTGCCAGAATCAACGATCGTAAAGGACACTTCGTTTGCGTGCACAAAAGCTTTTCCCAGAAATGTAAACTAATGGCAGTTCCAAAATTACTCCCCTTCTCCATGATCTGACGGGTATTTCCAACTACTTACTCTAAGGGATCGATCGATGTCACGTGTAGTAGCACCTCGGTCATCTTTCTAGTATATCCATTTTTTTAGAAATATTCCAGCGGTAATGCCGTAAGTTCTTGTTGGACTCTTCCGTCCATAACAATAGGATCCTTTAAAAATTTGATGTACTCAGTTCATGCTTTTGTGCTTCGTGATACCAGTTCGTTGTCACATGTGGAGAAATATTGAGCCAACAACTTGTGATTTTGCTTCCAATCTGAATACTAATTAAACCCTGGGGCCTTAGTGTACATATACAGCGACTATTGGTTGGGATTCAATCTTTCCTCGGGGCTCAGGCTTTCTTGTTCAGTTCCAGTGTTCTGACCTAGTGATTGAGCTTCGTCGTCTCTTGATGTACTCAGAACGTAATTCGAGGACACATACCGTGCACTTAAATGGCTGATACTACTAAAATCCATAATTCGCGTCTCCGATAGGCAGTAGAGATCAGTCATTGGGGAGTATAAAGCTAGGGAGAAAACAATGGAAAAATAAAATATATTCGGCATAAGTTTTCTGCAAATCTGACAATGGTTCTAGTAGAATGCCCAATGAACTACAGTGTGAACTGAGTACATCAAATTTTTAAAGGATCCTATTGTTATGGACGGAAGAGTCCAACAAGAACCTAAGGCATTACCGCTGGAATATTTCTAAAAAAATGGATATACTAGAAAGATGACCGAGGTGCTACTACACGTGACATCGATCGATCCCTTAGAGTAAGTAGTTGGAAATACCCGTCAGATCATGGAGAAGGGGAGTAATTTTGGAACTGCCATTAGTTTACATTTCTGGGAAAAGCTTTTGTGCACGCAAACGAAGTGTCCTTTACGATCGTTGATTCTGGCAACATTGTTGACTTATGCAAATAAACACAACATTCATGGAGAAGGAAAATAGATTACGGATTTCATGTGCGAGGTCGTTGTATCGTTCGATGGTTGACATAGAGAAGATGATTTATAACATTAGACATCACGAAATATCGTTACTGAGAAATGTGAACGAGTAATCCCACAACGTTGCAAAATAACCGTTTTTCCGTTCTGCGGTGTACCATCCCGGCTTTGGTAGTGTTAAGCTCAGATCATCTCAAGAGTTTTCAATCTATTGGATGTGAAGCTAAATTTTTAATTCCAGTTTATCTCAAGAGTACGGTATTAACAATTATGTAAAAAAGAAGCTTTCGGCGTTTCTGTATATTTTAGCACACGTTATCGTTTTCTTTTTCTGAAAGGCAGATACTACTGACTAATAAGATGTCATAGATTATGAACTCTGGTATTTTCGAAACGCTGATGGGCGCAACATATCAAGAGATGGACTGTTCTAAATAAACTGTTAAATACCGAGGAATGCGGACATCAGTAATTTCAATTGGCTGACAGACGTTAGAGGGGATGGGATTTGTAATATCAAACAAACGACATTCTCTGTCCAATTATTTTGCGTTACTTTTTTTTATTACATACCTACGTGTGCTAAACAGCAGACGGACCTGCTATTTAGTGGTGCAAATCGGCAACCTAAGCCCAGAGACTTAGAGTGACGAACCACATAAGGCCCCGATCGGTTGGGTGTTTGAGAGGATCCACGGTAATAAATATGCCACTCACGTTCCTTAGGCTGGTAACCCAGTTTTTTTAGCATTTCATGTCTAACCAAAACGTCACGTTAGTTTGGCACAACAGGTTGACAAAAATGAAAAGGTGCGCACTACAAGTGTATGCAACGGAAGTGTATGTGCAAAAGGTGACCTAAAACTGATGACACTCATACTACTCTGGTTGAAAACAAGAGAGAGGTAAACAACAACAACAACAAATTGATAAACGACTGGTTTGGCCTTTTAATCGGAAGAAATAATGTCCTAATGGCAGATAAGACTCGGCTGTCTGTACGGTAAACACAAATGCTTTGTGTTTTCAACTGCATCCAACAGGGTCGCAATGTTAGGTGGAAAAATTCAACAAGCAACCAGTCTTAGAGCAGAAAATAGCAAATGAAGAATGCGATGCACGCATGGATCTTTGGAATGCCGGCAGTTTATTATGCCATGTCGCGTGAGCGTGCGTTTATCTTGTGCTATGAATGGTATTTTTGAGACCACAAGTACAGTGAGACGGAGTAAGAATTGAGACCATAGACTAAACATATACATTATCGCTGTGAATGATGCATCATTGTATGCCACTGACAGTATCAAGTGTGGAGGATTGCGATTCAATACCATATTTGAGGCTAAATTTTAGGGTAGCGCAGCGGAATTGGCTCGCTAGAGTGCTAACGCATGAACAATTTTATCTGAATATACCATCCATACTCAATGTGAAGGGACATACAAAGATGTATTGTGGACGCACTTACGCTGCTGTCTCAGGACAAAGTATTCTCTGATAATCATTTTAATAGAAAGATTCAAATAAGAAGAAAGTTAGAAACCCCGATGAAACACCATTCCTAAGGGTCATTCCGAGTGAGAACTTGCCATAGACAGGAATTCGGCCTCGACTATTCATATGTTCACAGGATGCACGCGGGAGATGAGCCATTTTGACGAATACTCCGATAAACACTAGTTTTTTTAGTAGAACCGTTATTAGATAGTTAAAACACAGAGCGTGTCCTGTATTCAAGATAAAAACATGACACAAGCGCCGTCTGACGGTTTCCTCCGATTTGTTTTAAGAGACATACGGGCTTTGTATTTGGAAATTCTTCGCTGCTGTCTTCGTCACTGAACCGCTGCGTTTCTTTATTTATCCCCTACCAAAATTCGTTATTTTGCCATCTGTAGTATCGCGCAGCGTTCTCAGCCTTGCGATATGTACAGTTGACTCGATTTCGCGCCGGAATAGTAGTCAAAACCACATCACTCAATCCTGAGATTAATAGTGGTAAAAACTGCACAAGAGTGTACCGCTTGTGACATAAGTGGAATTTTATCTGCACTAATGGTTTCCAGCTCGAATGCAAATAAGCCCCGTAGCTCAATACGAAGAGGAAATAAGAACAAAAATGAATCGATACCAGAACACCGTAGCGAATACACTTCACATGAACAAGCCATTCCTGTGCGAGAATGTGAAAACTCCTAAAACTACTAAAAAGGGGAAATTTTGCTCATAAATTGTGGCTACCATGCAGGCTTTCGATCTTGCATTAATAAGTAACGCATGGATCACATAATGAAACGCTTCGAATAGCTAAGAAACAAATTAGTAGTTAAATGATTTGTAATGGAGTAGTGGGATGGGCCAATACAGTATGTGTGAAAGATAGACAAGCCAGACTTCTGGTGTGACATCGCTCGGTAGAGAGACGAATGGAACATGTGTTCCGCATGTAAAACAATCCTATTTGGATAGTACACAAACACACACGCCATACAGGTGTGTTGAATACCATCTCAACAAACTGATCGGATCGGGTTGTGCTGCGAAAAACCTATGACACCGAAGTATCCGGACAGGGATCTGCAAGCAGTCTCAAGGTAGTCAGTCACGCATGACTCTTGGGGGGAAATGAATTACATAAAACCTCTCAGGGAATTTTAGGGAGCCCTAGCTGGGGTGATCATTTGTAATCTGCTGCATGTTGTGAGGCCATCAACGGGTATTTGATGCCTTCATATCCGATACCGTTAGATAACAAGTGTCCAGTTGTCATTTTTTTCTTTTTCACAATATCACGAGGTTAATATGCCACAAGTGGTGAGAGCGAGGATATACGTTGGAGTTCAAACATTTGGACAATGTCGTACAAAATACCGCTATGCTCATGGGGATATCGAAAACGGTGGGATCACTGTTACCTAATGACTGCCAGCTCTCGGAGGCCGGTAAATAGCTGAACACCTGGGCCTCCTGGTTGAAGGCATAAAACATCAAATTATAGTATCCAACTCCAAAAAGGAAATCAGTTACGGACAGATTAAATACAAATATGCTTGGATTTCATCACAGACGTTTTCGAACAAACGAGATGGATCATACACAACTGGGGTAAACAAATATTGCATTAGCAGCGCACTGCCCCATAATTTGGTAGCACTCGGATACATACATCTTTTACATGTAAAAATATCTCTGACTGAGGCAGCATGCGGTGATTACTGTGCAAAAAGGTCGTTATGATGTGATGATTATTGAAACTGGATAAAAAAATCTAGTGTCCGCACAATTCGAGCGCGCACTGTGTATGTGTGTTAAAAGTAGAATACCTTGGCAGACGCAGAATTATCGAAAGTTTACGATTGTTTGACACAGTCCAAATGTGACAATGGGCGGCGACACATTTTACGCTCTAGTACCGCATGCACTTTAGCAATTGGATTGCATTGAGTTAGACGCTTTCCAAGACATTTATTATAGCTCAAGCGAGAATGCCCAGTCTAGAAGTGTATAACAATGGAAACTCAGAAAAGCTATGTGCTGAGTCAAAACACTGGCATGTAATGGACTGAATACACCCAGTCATCCGAAAATGGCACTTGTTTCCATAATGAATATCATCCCGTGCTGAAACCTTGCGAAAACTCTGTGGCTCACGCATCAGTTCTTGTCCCAAAGTTGAGGTACTTAACCGTCAATTTGCTNCCCATGATGTAATTAACCCTGTTTCTCCGGACGAGGTCCTCCAAGTTTTGAGGAGAATCAAGGCCAATAAAATTCATGGTCCCGATGGATTAGCACCTCATTTATTGAAAGCTTGCGCCGACCAGCTTGCGACACTCATTGCCGAATTGTTCAGTACTTGTTTGTCACCTAGAATGATCCCCGCTTGTTGGTCAGTCCGGATCAGATCAATCCCAAAGAAAGATTCGTCCAATTGCCTGCACATCTGTGTTGC